TCGTCGAGTTTCCAAGCTCTGCGATGGCGTGTCCTAGAAACTCCATTACATACAACGCCACGCGCTGCGCGTGCGGTATAGGTCAGCTTCTTAACCGGAGCTCCGGTAGCTGCGAGATCTTCGGTTGGCCGTCGACGATCACGACGGACAAAGACGTCAGCTACACCGGAATATCCTTCGCCGAGACTTTTTTCGCTTTCGATAGGATCCGGAAGTTTACTCAGTCACAAGCTGTGTTCCTCGAAGCAACCCTCGTGATGCTTCTCTCATGGCTACTCTTTTGCTTCATCCTCAGATTCACAAATCTCGGCGACGGTCGTAGTATCTGGTTCAATCTCCGTTGGTGGGTTACTCGCCTCGATGTCTTCTTCTCCACTAGGCATTGGCTCGTTAGTACTCGATCCATTGCTTTTGATTACTATATGTCTAATGTCTCATGAGCTTGTTCCTTCGAGTACCAATTAGGGTTTTCTTGAATCTCGCAGGATGATCAGGATATTGTTAAGAAAAGGAAAACGGAATTAGGTGGAACATTCTCTGTTGCGAGCTGGATTGTCTTCATAGGATTATTCGCTGCGTGAGTTTTGTTTTGAAACTCAATTTCTTCTGTTTGATTTTGGTGAATCTTGAAATTGACTTGCTTTTCAGTTTCTTCACAGGTTGCTTTACCAAATCATAACGAAGAGAACTATTGAAGTTCACAATGTGAGAGCTACTGGTTCTCCAGATTTAATCTCCTTCGAAAACGATTTGGAGTTTAACATCACTGCTGTTTCTGATATGAGTTGCTCTAATTTACGCGGTATCGGGAATGTAGTCACTGGTAATCCCGGATTCAGCGATTTCAAAGTTGCTTCTCTTTCCAGTATTGGAAACTATACTTGTAAGAATACAAGTTCAGGGCCAACTGTGAATTTCAAGTGTACAAGATGTCGTCTCACCAATGATTACATCTATATCTCGTGGCATTTCGTTGATCTTCCTGATTCGCCTGCCGCTGCTGTTGGATTTCAGTTTAACTTCACTTGTAAGAATGGAGCTAACAAGAAGCATATAAGTTTTGTTAGTGGAACTCTGAGAAACGGAAGTCTCCTTGATGAAAGGCCGGTTACTTTCCGTGGAATCGAAGGGAACATATTGAAGTTTAATCTGTTTCCCCGTATTTACCATCATTTACATGATCTAAAGCTAATCCAACCTCTGTTCCACGAGTTTATCCCTGGCTCGGTTTACCAAGACACTGCTCAGCTTCAGGCATCCATGGGGAGGTCAACTGATGGCATACTCAACACCACATTGTTCATCAACTATCTGTCTGCTTATATTGTTGAGATCGACCATGAAAATATACTCGGTCCTGGTAAGTATCCATTCACTTCTTGTGAGTACCTCAAGTTTTGATAGTTTATTTCTTATAAACTTCGAGATGGAAACTACAGTTTATAAATGTCGGCATGTGCGTCATCTCAGTTTCTTGGTTTAGTATGTGCAATAAGAAATACTAGAGCAGCTTAAGTTATAACTAAATGAATATCTTTTATTTCTGTTTTCTGTTTTACAGTTAGCTTCCTTGCCGATCTTGGTGGTTTGTATTGCATCAGTATTGGCATATTTTTCTACCTACTAGTGCAGGTTTTAAGCCTTTCCATCTTCTTTACTTATTTTTCTCTCTTCTTGAAGGCGACTTTTCGATATATTATTCACAATCTATCTTTATAAGAAAGAGCATTAAGCATGAACTTAGCGAGTGTGTAAATAAAGTAATGAAAATCTTAAGGAAATTCTAGTCCTTTGTTAGCATATTCTGGATGGTGGTAACTCGGCTCTTCGAATAGTGTGAGTACAGGATCAAGAAGCTGCGAAATGAAGATACCATAATCAGGAGGATACGAAAGCGTCGTAAAGCTCTTGACCACTGGGACAAAGTAATTGTTTTCCC